CCAAATTTCTTGGCAGAGATGAGTGAGTGCCTCCTGTGCCGCCTCACTTTCTTGAAGGATTTCAATTTTTATTCCATCAATTCCTAGTGCCTTGTTCTTTGCCAATTCCTTCAATGCACCTTGGACTTCCTCCTTCAGCATCATTTCCATTTGATCATATGCTACTTCTTGAAATGGTTGAACATCAACAATTTCCTTTTGGTAGGTGATTCTGTGTATTCCTTCCATCTTCTCTTGATGCTTTCTGCATCATTCAATAATTTGCCCAGAGAATCCTTCAATAACGAAAGTTGTAGCTTGAATTTTTTCTTCTGTTCCCCCAGCTTGAGAAATGCTGAGCGTGGTGTTCTTCCTTTTTGGTTTTCTGATTCCAGATCTTTGCACATTTTGTTGTAATACTTGGCTTTATCTTTTCGAGCTGACCTTTGAAATTTTCTGTTCATCTCTTGTACCTCCTTATTTCTTCCAATTGCTTTAGCATCTCTAAGCTGGAGAGCAAGTTTCAGTGTCTCTTCTGACATGCATTTTACCTTTTCTTTCTTTCTTGTCTTCTTAATGACTTTTTGGTTTCTTCCTGTATGATGTTCTTAATGTCATCCCACAGCTCTTCTGGTCTTCGTTCTTTACTGTTTAATGTATCAAATCTGTTCTTCAAATGATCTCTAAATTCAGGTAGGATATATTCAAGGTCATATTTTGGCTCTTGTGGGCTTGTTTTCATTTTCTTCAGCTTCAATTTGAATTTGCATATATGTAATTGATGGTCTCTTCCACAGTCTGCCCCTGGCCTTGTTTTTACTGATGATATGGAGCTTTTCCATTGTCTCTTTTTGCAAATGTAGTCAATTTGATTTCTGTGTATGTCGGGGACCTGCCTCAACAGGGAAGTTTGGTTCATGAAGTAGGGAGATCTGGCGGCGAAAGAAATAGAGAAAGAATATACACAAAGATGCAATGAGAGAAAAAAAGAGACACTCCGAGACCAGAGTAGATGCAAAACTGGCAGGCAGACCCTGCATGGCAGGCAGCATCACACTGCAGGCAGTAATGCATGCAGCATTCAATCTGCATTTGTCTTTTATTTTTTTCAGGGAGGGATTTTGCACAAAGGAAGAAGGTGATTATTCAGATAAGACAGGGTACAGAAATGAAATGTGATTAATCGTTCAAAACAGGACACAATGATTTACAGGAACAAATTCTAAAATATACATCGCAGATTTCTTAATAATCTAACATTCTTAATTTTCCAAAAACTCAAGCAAACTGTTATAAATTACTTTTTAGGCTTAAATCACCTAAGGCAGCGAAGTGAGGTTTCTCAAGGCTAATTAACATACCTATAGCACTTAATCCCTAATGGGTAAAGATGAAAAGGATTTAAAAGTTCTGAAGGGAGTCAAGCTGTTTCAGCTACCTGGCTTAAGGTTTCAGGAGGAAGGAGAACATCTAGGTTAATCGGTTTACACCTAGGGACAGTTTGAGGGGGATGCCACTATTATTCTTTAAACAATACTCCCGGAATTTACCAATCTACCTTGAGAGAATACTCTGGGCAGTTTCCCTCTGGAGCCTCCCAGCGTAATACTAGCAAACCTGCTTTTGGAACTTTTACTGCCTCGGCTTTAGAAGAGGTTTTGGTTTTAATATTGTACATGGATATCAAGAGCTCATGTATTAAGTTAATATCAAACATAATTGAATAACTTGATAAAGAACAGTTTTGACATGCTTGCCAGGTGGCCAGAGCTTGTTCCTCAGAGAGATTTGTTCCCAGGACCTTACGCACTGCCAACACAGTGGAGACATTCAGAGAGGCACATAAGAAACCATTTTCTCAGAAGCTACAATTACTGGAGTTAGAAACATAGAATGAATAATAAGACCAAAGAAAATTATACAGAGGTAGCCCACTAGTGAGTTTGCAAAAACCAATGAACCCGGAACATCAGGAGGTCACTTCCTTTGGCCCTCAGGGTCCCTGGCCCGCAATCTGAGGAGGGCCTTTGTGTTGGATTTTCGTCTATGACACAGGACCTCAGCATCTCAATGCTTGCTCTCACCAACATGTGTATTCCATCTGGTGATGTCCATGTGTTTAATCGTCTCTTATGCTGTTTAAAAAAAGGTATTTGAAATGAACAAATCATTGATTTTTCAGAATTCTACCATGTGATCTCCAGCTTCATGTACAGGGCTGCCATAAGTGAAAACTGACTCAAGGGAAATTAAGAAAAACAACATCACCTTTATGTTATCCCATTTGTTTTTGGACATCTGTGCCTACCACTCTGGTAGCAGCAGAGTGAAAAATACTATGTAACATATAATAGTATTAAGAATTACAGTTCTTATAGTTGTGTACCGTCGAGTTGGTTCCAACTCATAGCGACCCTGTGTAGGGTTTTTTTGGAGCGGCTGGGGAGTTTGAACTACCAATCTTGTGGTTCAAACTGACTTTGCTGTCCAACGCAGTATCCTGCAGTGACAAATCAGGACTCTAGTTGTTCCTATAGTAGGGATTGGTATTTGAGAGCTCATACGTAATCTTTGCATTATGGCTGACAGTATTTAGAGATGTCTCAAGTATCATTGAAAGTAAGGAATCAAGATTTTAATCATTCCTCTGCAAAAAAATGATCTCTAATTTTTTCTCTGTCAAAGTGATAGCACTACAAGGGTACTTCAAAAAGTTTGTGGAAAAATTATCTTTTAATTCCATTTTACCATGAACTCTTTGAAGCCCATCATATATTTTTATCTGACTTTACCCCTGAATATTTTATCATTTTTGTATCTTCAACTATCTGACATACTGAATTTACCTGTGGTGTAAACAGGAAAATATTAGAACCAGTGTTTGTAGTGTCCATTGTTCAAATTACATTTTACAATTTATTTTATTGAAAGGCAATAATATTTTAACTTACAATATTATTATAATATAATACAATATTGTATTACAATTATGTATATACAATAATATAATACAGTATTGTAATAGAATAATATTGTAACTTGAAATCCTGGTGTAGCACTGTAGATGAGTGCGCTGAACTGCAAAGTCAGTTTGAACTGCAAGGTCAACGGTTCAAGTTCACTAGCTGCTCCTTGGAACCCCTATACAGAGTCACTATCGGTCGGAACCAACTTTAGGGCACTTAACAACAACAATAATGTAACTTAACATTTTTCCCTGTGCTTCCATTATTAAAGAAATGAATGAAATGTAAATCAGGCATTTTTCTCATTTTATTCAGTAATAACATAAAATGGAAGAAACTAATGATACAAACAGAAGGCTTAACTATTTTTCTCAAATACACAGGTAACTTTACTCCTAACGGTTTTTGGTGATGATAATCAGTCTCAGGACATCGTGCGATTGAAGCAAGATGTTAATGATTATAACCGAAGATTCTCAGGGCAGCCCAGATCCGTAAGTATTATAGCAGAAGATGCCAAGTTAGAGGGAGCCCTTTTACTTCTCTTTTATAAAGTGAGATACAGCAACAAGTTCTCTTTGACTATGACAAATCCCGTATGTGTGTTGGGTAAAGTTTTTTTTTTGTTTTTCTTACATTTTTATTAATCACTGAGTTATAGCTTTCCAGGGACTAAATTTCACTGAGTTATAGCTTTCCAGGGACTAAATTTTTCTTTATGAAACATCAACCAAAAAAGTACTGAAAAAAATTGAAGAGAAATATAAAATTATTGGCATCTTTGTGATTCTAAAACATGGCTGTCTTATGGAGTTTTACAATAGTCTTTTACTCTATTTTCTTCCTTCCTCTCTCCAATCTAAAATGTTCCTTTAGTACTTTAGGTTAAAAAAATTTTTCCTTGCCTTTTTTCTTTTTTTAAAATGTTTTATTGTGACTTATATGATAGTTTACATGACTACATGAGAGAACTTTAGTTTTACATTCATTCCATCGTATATCATTTCATTGCCATGGTTCCATTCCCCTTCATGCGTCATCAACCGACCAAAGGGTATATCCTAGAAATCCTTGCCTTTTTTTTAACACTTCATCTTAGTTATTCAAAATCATTCTAATTTAAAGAACACAAAATTACTACAGTTGCCCTCCCCTCTAAAGAAAGCATTTGACAAAACTTGCTTCGTTTTGCTGAACTCATACCAATTTTCTCAAGTCTAATAAGTGACTCTAGAAATGTATATGATTACATATGCATTTCCAATAGGAGAATATACTAAGTACAAATTTATATGGAAAACCCAGACCTCTTCTCTGACCTTTAGACTCTGTAGATGGAACTGCTCAATTAACAGGACCATATGGGTATCTGACAGGCATCTCAAACTTCCCATGCATAATATTGAATTCCAGATGCCTTACTCAGCTTGGAAATGGCAAACTCTCCCCACCCTGTATTTATTGAAGCCAAATCTTTGGGTGCAATTTTTGATCACTACCTCTTTCTCATCTCATTTGATGTCTATAAATCTTATCACTTCTTTTCTCTCTCTTGTTTTTTGAGTCCCGTCATTTTTACCTGATAAAAATTTGCTGGTGTCTCCTGCTCTCTCACTGTAGCCATAATACTAGTCTAAGCTGTGAAAATTTATGTTCATATACATAGTGGTAACAAATTGGACTGCTAACCTCAAGGTCAGCAGTTTGAAACTGCCACCTATTCTGCAAGAGAAAGATGTGGCTTTCTGCTCCCATAAAGATTTACAGCCTTGGAAACCTTGTACAGGGTCGCTGTGAGTCGGAACCGACTCCATGGCATACCACAACTACCACCATGTGTATAAATCTAGCGATTCATGTAGATTTCTGTACATATTGAAGAACTTACTGATTTTTACAAAGGGAAGGCCTGATATTCAGAAAATATTTGGCAATTAGTAATTTGCTTAAATTCAAATTTAGCAGAGTAAGTGTTTTATCTAAGGAACCAGTTTCACTGCTATGCTATTCTTAGACTTGCCCTCAAAGGTGATAAATTTTAGATGTGTCTGTAATATGTAATATTTGTATACTCATATGGGAATTTACAAAGGTCTTTCTGATACATTATCTCTGTTAGTTCTCAGTCCTGTGGCACATGAATTATGTAGATGGTTGAATTATCTCAGTAGGTTAAACAATTTTCTCCAAAGTTTTAACTGATCGACTTTAGTTGCTGTTGAATTATCTGCAGTAATTTATAAGAATCTAGTAATTAAAGAACTATTTTCAAATAAAATTAAAGAAAAAGACATTATTTTGAAATATTATACATGAGATACTGAATCATAATCTTTGTTTTTTTCCCCTACCAGATTATGGAAAGAATTATGGATCTACCCACTTTACTGAGGCATGCATTCAGGGAAATGTTTTCAGTTGGGGGCCTTTTCTGGATGTTCCGCATCAGGATAATACTTTGTTTAATGGGAGCTTTTTTCTATCTGATATCACCTCTAGATTTTGTACCTGAAGCCTTGTTTGGAATCTTAGGCTTTCTAGATGATTTCTTTGTCATCTTTTTGTTGCTTATCTACATCTCTATTATGTATCGAGAAGTAATAACACAGAGGCTAAATCGATGAAAAAGTGGGGGTAACTAGAGTATTTGAACTAGTGTATAGACTCAAACACCAGAATCCATGGCATTATAAAGCATTTGAATATTATCTTGCAAGCTTAAAACCACAGTATGATAGACATTTGATTATCATTTGACAAATGCCTAGCAATATACAACTGGAATTTTAATATGTTGCAGGTTTGTTCTAATACTAAGTTTAGAATTATAGTGATTTTGATTCTGTATAGTCTATAATGTCTCTTGGGGAAAATATGTAATTATATAACAAGGGAATTTTTTTTTTATGTCTTTTTGATATAAAATGAAAAATATTTCCCAGGATTCATGTTAATTGGATATATAGTAAGATATAGTTAAATGTACCATTTATCCAATATATTCACCTCAGCAGATATCTTTATAAATAATATGAAACTCATCTAAATATATTTGTTACAATAAAACATATAATATTAGAAGTGAGATAATATTTTCTTTAGTATTAACTAAGTTTTGTGCATTTGGAGCAGTTTTACATTTCCATCCTGGCATAATTCTTTGTTATCAACTGAAAATGAAGGAAGAAACTTGAACTTCATAATTTTATCTCATCTTGTAGTTTACAGAACAAGTTTTAGTCAATAGAATTAACAAGATGAAAAACATTTATCTGCAGTCAGCACACTAGATGTTATTTAAATAAGTGTTTGGTCTTTCATAGGATCAGCATATAAAAGTAACTTGTAAAGGGACTAGTACTAAGAGTCTGATCCCAGTTCAATTGTTTATTTGTTGCATGGCTTCAGGCAAAGATTTATCTATAGTATGGGGACTTCATCTGTGAAAAGGAAGGCTGATACTATACACAGAGCATTGGGATGCATTTCGGAGCAAAGTGGATCTTCATGGTTTTGAGAATAAACACTCTCAGGGTACTAGGCACACTATTTAAATTTAGTTTGAAGTTATTGGCTTAACATTAGCAACAGGGTGGACACATTTCATTGGTTTCCTGGGTTCAGTCAAAAAACTAACAATGCTGTCTTTAGATGGCAACATGTAGCCCAGATTTAATATGTCTAAAAAGCATTGTGTGCTACATGAATAAGTGTATCTGATGTGATTGGATAAGGAAGTTATCTTGTTTCATTTTGAATGGTTATGGCATAAGTATATATATAATGCTCTCTTCTGTAATTTTCAGCTGGAGAAAGATAAATATCACAGGCATTATAGGATCCTAGTTCATTGTTCATTAGTGAACCAAGGATAGTGTGGTGGAAGGAGATGCCCAGGAGTCAGTGTTTGCTTTACCATTTGTTGACATCAATAATACTATTATCCATTAATTAGTATGCCTCACTATGCATGTAGTGAAATAAAAGAAAATCAGATTTTCTAAAATTAACTAGATTAGTCATCAACTAATGATATTCTAGATGAAATATCAGTAACAATATTTTCTAATTTGGGCTTATGGCAAAGCTATTGCTTATTATAGGAGAAAAAATAATACTTGATAGTACACTAAATGAAAGCAATTTCTCATATACTTTTCATTTTATTCTTAGGCTAATTTGGTGAGGAAGTCAAGGCACCACCTCTCTTTTCTTTGTTGAAATCCTCATGATACTGATGAAAGGTTTTTGCATGAAGTCATGCAACAAGTGATTGTACTAGGAGTAGACTCTTAGAAGTCTTGTATAAAAGTTTATTAGATAGAATCCTAGTGATTGTGAAGTGGTCAGGAGGAGAGCTGCCTCTGGAAATGCTTCAGAATATATTAATCCTTCCCCAGAGTAGGAGAGTTTAGGTGTTTCTAAGAGAGGAAAAGGTGTATATTGAAAGACTTATGAATCCTAATTTTATGCTTCCAAATCAAATGTCTAATTGGATGGCACACTTCAGAGAAACAGTTCAATTATAGTCACTAACTTGAAAGCAAATGTGTGGGAGTTTGTGATATAGCCATTTACCAGTGTATATATTTGGCATGGAGTGATAGCAGTGTCATATTTTGACAGGATTTTATTTTTCGTGCATGTGTTCTGCTCCAAGTATCACATTTCTGGCTATGGTAATTTTATTGTAATTTCTTTAAATACCTTTTAACTTTCTTGGTAGAGGTGTATTGTACCCAAATTTGCAACATACAAAAACACTGTATGATCTGAAATTCTATTAAATTGAACAGGGAACATACTAACATCTCGGACTTTTAAACTTGCTTATTGTGTCATCTTCCTTCATCACTGATATTAAAGGCAAAGGGGATCTGAGAGAGTATTTAAAGCAAATCAAGTCAATCAGTGTTTTAAATATCACAGTAATACTTCCATGATTTGGAATAAGATCATAGAAATCAAAGTAATGTTAATTTGGATTTCTGTAAAACAGTATTGTAATGGACGCAAAAACAAATGGTTCAGCCCTGAAGCAGGTAATAAATTGGGTGGCTCTGTGGGGAACAAGACTGGTGAAACAATCGTTCTAACTGCCCACTAAAACAGCAGTTCCAACTGCCAGAATTCTCAGCTTTTGAGCGTAACAAGGAAAGAAAGATCTTGTGTTGATCCCTGTGACTATGCAGATACCTACCTCACAGAGTTGTGGAGAATTTGCAGTTTGGTTCAAACTTTGTGATCTAAGAGTTTGTCAAACAGTTTATTCTTTTCAATAAATGCACTACCATATGTAAAAAAAAATTTAAATGTGTTATATTTCTGTTTTTTTTTTTGTTTGTTTGTTTTTTAAATTAAATGTTTTTATTTTGCATTGAGTGAAAGTTTACAGGGCACAGCATCAGTTTCACATTCAACCATTCATATAGCTTGTTTCATTACATTGATTATTATCCCCACCATATATCATCAGTTTACAGTGTTTCTCTCTATCCTCTTTAGCTTTTTTTTTTGGATGGGGGGGACTTGGCTTTTTGGAATTTACAGTCTCGGCTTTTAGTGTTATTTTTCTGTTTTTTTAATTTTTATTTTTTTATTGTATGCTTTAAAATTCAGAACTCTTAAAGTATTTTGCTTATTTGGATATCCAGTATCATCACATTTCTAACCTAGATATTTTAAATTTTAAAAGGAGAGGAGAAAAAAAAATGTGTTTTAAAGCAAATGATTCAATCCAGGCAGTCTAGAATTTAAATTGGTTTAGGCATGACCCTGATTTTGCACCCTTATCTCTTTTGATTGCAACTTGAATTTATATTATTTATTTGCGATCTGGAATTTTCTTTACCGAATCTGTGCCCTCCTTAGGTTTTCATTAACTCCTTCCCTGCCTCCCACTCATTGAGCTCCATGCCCTTCCCTATTGCTAAACAGCAACACCTAAGAAGAGATACTCAAAGCTTTTAGGCCTTAGGAGTCTCTTAGGACATAGCCAATATTCTTTAAGGACTGTAAGATGGTCCTTAAAGAAGGTAAAGGCAATCTCTGAGCTTCTGTTGTCAGGTTTTAGGTGTTATCAGTTAGGATTCTAAAATAAACTTCACCTTTTTATCACTGTCATCTTCATCCACTTGCATTATTTGACTTGTCCCATGTCCCAGAAAGGTACATAGAGGTGTAGATGTCCCGTTAGACAACACCAAGCATGTTGGGACCATTGTCCTGGCTAGCACTGGCCTTAGGTTCCTTTATCTCAACTGATGACTGAGGGAAATGTAATATGTAACATAGGAAAGGATAAAGGGTTAAAAATGCTTTAAAAGCCATCGTAACATGAGATTTCAACTTGTTTAAAAACACAAATTTAAAAGTTTAAAATCACCTGCTATTGTAGCGATGTAGAGTAAGCCCTTGACTGCAATGTCGGTTTGAACTGCAAGGACGGCAGTTCAAATCCACCAGCTGCTTGCTCCTCACAAACCCTATACAGGGTCATTGTGAGTCTGAACCAACTCAGTGGCACTTAACAACATTTGGATAAAAACAGTGACCCTTCTAACCAATTTTATAGAAAACCTTGATATCTACTTGAAAGGTAGCCTAATCTTTGTTTCACTCATACTAGAATATCAAAACTGTAGTGTTGGTAGTGTTAAGTGTTGTAGTAGAGTCAGTTCAAACTCATAGTTACCCTGTATAGGATTTCTAAGGTGCAGCTGATTAGTTTGAACCAACAACCTTACAGTTGAAACCAATCTTGCAGTCCAACCCCTATCCCACAGTGCCACATCAGAGCTGTAAGAGACCTTAAATATTGGCTGGTGGTTTTTTGGTTTTTTCTTGGTTCTTCTTTGTGAAAATCAGATGAAACCTATGAACATCAACCCCAAAAATGCATATATTTTGCATTCATTTTCAGTTTGAAGACCAGACCATCCTGCCAAATTAAGAATTTCTGATTTAGCTCTATAGCTTCATTTTTATTACGTGCAGTCGAATCGGTTTTGCCTCACAGCAACCCTGTATAAGAGTTTCTGAGGCTGTAAATCTTTGCGGCAGCAGAAAGCTGCACCTTTCTCCCCCGGAGTGTCTGGTGGGCTCAAACTACAGACCAATATTTATCCTTCAGAGTCACTGCATTCCCTAACTTTACATTCACTTTACAGATGAGCAAAATGGGGCCCAGAGAGCCTCAATTCTAGAGCACTGGGTTTTGTTTCTTAAATAAAAAACTTTATAGAAGAAGCATGAGTAGAAAAACAAGTGGCTTATTTTTATTATCAGACAAGGAGGTTGTGCTTACTCTTTTATAACCATTGTGACACTTTACCCTTTTAGGATCAAGGTTAAAAGTTTAGTAAATTAATTAGTTCTCAGCCTCAAGTGAATTTGAAAGATACCAACCTTGTAAGTAATCTCAGTTTATCACTATCCTCTTTCCCTTAAATGGCCACAAAAGAACGCTTTTGTATGCTTTCATTGTTATTTATTGTAGAAGTTAGAGATCAAATGAGCTTACACATCGCTTTCATTCTTGAAAGGTGTGTGTGTGGGGTGGGGGGTGGGGGGTATCATTCTTACCTTGTTTAATAAGCTGTTTGTTGTTAAGTGCTGTTGAGTC